AAAGTGATCTTTCTTTCAAATCCTACCCAGGAACAGTTAGACCTTTTGAGAAAAGATGAATTGCTTCAACTTGCCAGAAAATATAATCTTTCTAACCATTTTGGTCCTGTATTTGGTGGAAAAGAGTGTTTTGGATAAAAGTGCTTTGGTTTCCATCAGGAAGTCTTTCAGACTCAGACATAAAGGTAAAGGAATCAAAATTAAACTACATGATGGAAATAGAGTTAAGAAAGCTTTAACTTCAGAAAGATAAAGAAGAGAAACAAATGCATTTACAGAAAAAAGAGAAACAAATGCCATTGGAGAAAGAGGAGAGAAACAAATGCCATTGCAAATGGAGAAAGAGGAGAGAGAGAGAGAGAGAGAGAGAGAGAGAGAGAGAGAGAGAGAGAGAGAGAGAGAGAGAAAGATGCAAATACAAATACAGAAAGATAAGGATGATAGGGAATTTCAAATTAGGTTAAAAGAATTAGAGCTGACAAGTGAAAAGCACATTCCCACTTTACATACAAATTCAAGTTTTGATGTTTTAAGAAATATCAAGTTAGTATTCCCTTTTCTGGAAAAAGAAGTAGATCAGTATTTTGTACATTTTATGACAGTTGTTGAAACTTTGAAGTAGCCAAGAGAGACTACTGGACTTTATTATTACAATGTGTACTATTGGTAAAGCTCGTGATATTTACATTTCTCTTTCACTACAGCAGAGTTGCTGAATATGATATTGTTAAGGACTATATCATCCGGGTTATCAGTTAGTCCCTGAGGTATATTAACAAGGTGTTAGGGAATATAGAAAATTAACTGACCAAACCAATATAGAATTTCATGGAAAAAAGCATGACAAATTGATAGGTGGTGCTCTTCTAGAAAAATTAATAAAGATCACAAAAGTTTCAGACAACATTAGTTGAAGATTTCAAGAACTGTGTCCATAGTGACATTCAGATTTATCTTGATGAGCATAAAGTCGGAAAACGCTACTCACGCTACTGATAAGTATTCCTTAGCTCATAAATTTCTCTTGTAGGTAAGTCTTACATTCAGTCTTATGGTAAATAAGCATTTTAGCCTAACACGAGCTCTTTCTACATTTTAATCTGGTGCAACATTTAGAAATCAAGCTTCTGATAAGCTTGATAGAAAATCCTTGTCTCTTCCCTGTGTACCTATTGCAAGAAAAAAGTGTGCGTTATTTCTGATAGCTACAATTTGAAAAATAAGCATCAGAATCCAGACCTTTTCCAAATTCTTTTATTTCTAAGAGGTCAAGGTCACAGTCATGTATTGAAAGCAACACATTTCATGGGTCTAATTAACCCCAGTCTGATTTTATTATGGAGAATTATGAACCATTCATGTCAAAGGGTTCTATATCACTTGGGTGATTTGGCCAATACCATCCCTATTAAAATTTTAAGGAACACAAGAGCTTCTCAGAATCGTTAATTATTAGGTACTTTGCCTTTTCCAGAGAAATCGTCTTCTAATGAGAGTGTTCTTTTTCAGGGAGTAGAATGTGGCTTTAGTAATGTTCCTCTCCATTGTGTAAACTTATCATCAGACTTAGTCTCAGGACACATGACAGTCAGCATAGTGTTTTCTTTACCCATTGAGGGCATTCATTTATTACTAGGGAATGACTCAGCTGGAGATAAGGTTGTGGTTAATTCACTTGGAACTGAAAAGCCTTGTTTGGATCAAAACGTCAGTTGTATTGATAAAGAATTATGATATATACCCAGCTTGTGCAATTGCTAGAGCTATGGCAAAGAAAGCTTTTGAGAATGATGTTGATCAGTAAAGTATTCCTTTAGCTGATACATGTGTTGGTCAAGCTTTTGATGAGGTCACTTTTACTCTTTGTTTGGATCAATCGAAAGGTACTACTCTTTCTTGTTATTCAAATCAGGGTGACAAATGACAATCACTTCTCTTTGAGCAGGAAAAAGATTCTGAGATCTCCTGTTTGTTTCAAATGGCCATTGTGAAACTAAAGCCACTGAAGTACCTGTCTGTTATTTCATTCAAAATGGAATTCTTGAGGAAATGGAGACCTCCCAAAGTACCTGCTGATGACAAATGGTCAGTGAAATATCAAATTGTAGTTCTAAAATCAGTGCAGACAGGAAATTCTTAGTCTGGCTGATGAAACTCGTTTGGCTGGTCATTTAGGGATTAATAAGATTTATCACAAGATCTTGATCACTTCAATTGGGCAAAAATGAAAAGTGATGTTTGTATATACTGCAGATTTTGTCATATTTGTCAAATAGTAGGAAAATCCAATCACAAGATGTATAAGGTTCAATGCAATCTGTTTCTGCATTTGACAAACCATTGAGCAGAATGAAGGTAGATTGTGTCGATCCCTAAGATCAAGTCAGGCAACCAATACTTTTTGACAATAATGTGTCCATCAATCAGATTCCCAGAGGCAATTACTTTGAGGAATATTAAAACTAAAACAATAGTAAAAGCTTTGATAAAGTTTTTTTTTCTCAATTTGGCCTTCCCAAATCAGTCCAATTTGATCAAGAGTCAAATTTTATGTCTGGAATTTTCTAGCCAGTTATGCTTGAATTTTTATTGTTGTTGTTGTTGTTGTTTTTGGGCTTAATGCCATATGGCGGCCAGTATTAATGGTGGAGGAAGAAACCAGGAAAGCTCCGGAAAGAACCACAGACCCACGAGAAGCTACTGGCAAGCTTTCTCACATATCCACATTCGCCAAATCATAGAACACATGAAGACAGAGGTGAGATGGCAGTGATCTGTAACGGACATCGCTTTAGACCACTCGGCCACTCGGGGACCCTTATGCTTGAATTTGTCATCCAGCAATACAAGTCAAAAGTGAAATTGTGGTTTGACAGAACTTCAATAGAGAGAACTTTTGAGTCTGGTAATAGAGTTCTGTCTCTCTTGCTCATTCTTCAAAATTGTCTTCATATTAGGTATTATGGCCTTTACAAAGTTAAGAAGAAAATGAACGAGTTAAATTCTAATAATAACTTGATTTTCTTCTGGTTGTTCTTTACATATTCTCTATACACTTCACACTTACCTGTCCCATTAACCCACAACAGTATATAGTACTGAAGAGACATCTCCATGGGAATGCAATTGTACATAAAAGCTTCATGTATCAAATTTACCAAACAATTTGTGTATATTCAATGACTGGTTGGGATATGGTACTCTTCAACACTGAATGGTGCTGCATTAAAAACTGAGGATTGAACCAAGGCTCACAGAGGTGAAAAGTGTTAAGTGTATAATATTAAGCCTTATTACACGATTTCACTCACAAGATTTACTTTGATGCATGAAAATCAGAGTTGCTTGCTATCAAATTTACAGTAAAAAATGCTTTTTTTGTTGCAAGTGAATACTAATAAATATAACACTTTCTACAACATTGAAGTGTAAAGTAACTACTTACTACCATAAAGGTATGCAGCAGTATATATTAATTAATGTAAAGAGATATAATATTAAACTTTAATTAGATTTTATGGCTTAAAATGCAATAATTTTTCTAACCTTTTAAGAAATGGAAATGGTTACTTTTAATTAAAGAATTTACAGTCTCTTTACAAACTAAAGGATCTAATGTTTTCACATGAAAGTCTTGATCTGGCCTGAACTGCAAAGTTTCTTTCAAGACTTCAAAGTAGGCTACTTGACTCGGTCAATAGTTTATTGTTAGCCCTTGACTTTGCATTTGATATGAATTATTCCATTTCAGTCTCTGTGTTGATATATGCAATATTTAGGGCCACTGCTGTCAAACTTACAATGTTCTTCAGTCCATGCACCTACTCGGTCCTTTTCAATGTCTGAGTGATGGATATAAGGGCGATGAATGGACATACAGTTGTCAGTATCAAAATAAAAGACACGATGTTTTGAAGTTCCAAGGTATCGTACAATTTTAAATGGGCATTGGCCATTATGTATGCAGCAAAAATGGGGGTTGCAAATTTATGCACATTTCATTAGTTTTCCTTTGTTGTCCACCTGAGCTTGTTACCACCTGTGGATGCCATATTTCTGATCCAACTAAACTTGCAAAATGGGTTAAAATCATCCAGCTATTGGATGGATTGGATGAGTACAGTCCAAGCAAGGTACAAATACACAGGCCGCTGGGATGTATTAGCTGTAGGGCTACACCAACTTCATCCAGTGAGGTCCCAATTTATGTGAGATACAATTTCAGAAGATTTAAGGACAATTTTGTTTTATGAAAGAAATATTTAAACTGCAAATATAAATTGTAACCGTATTAATTGCTAATGCCTCATCACACCTCACAGCCAAGATTACAAACGAGTTTTTTATGGTGTATAGTACATGTACTGACCAGCTGATCTATTCTTAGGATTGCCATTCATCTGTTAGCCATTGTCACAATTATGTGAGTTACAAAAGCATTTAAATTAATGCAGATCCCTGGTAAAATGGATATGAGCTTGCCCTACGTTTCTTCTTTTCTGAGCATTTATCTCAAGAGTTTGTTCCCCTATTTGTCAATTACTATAACTAGTTGATTGTTCCTGTTTAAGGGGATTTTGTTTTGAACATCAGACAGCTCCATGTCAGTGAATACATATATTTAGAATATTTAGCATGTCTAGCTCATGCTTGATTTATTTAAATGACAGAATTGGATTATGGCTTGTTTCCTCAGCAATCTTGAATATTTGAAGAACATTTCTATTCTTTGAACATGGTTGGGCTCTAATATAGCTCTATGGAGAAAGTGATTTTTAAATTCATGCTAATGATTTTAGTTTTAGATTAAATGACATGTCACTAGTTAGTTTATAACTATTTATAATCAACATGGGACACATGGCATTGCTAATTTGTAATAATCATCTTCGATCAACATGGGACACATGCCATTATTAATTTATAACAATCATCATTGAATCAACATTGTACAAATGCTATTGTCAATTTGTAACTATCATCTTTCAATCAACATTGGAGACTGTTCCAGTGGCTTAGTGGTTAGAGTGTCTGCTTTGGGTGTGGGTGGTCGCAGCTTCAAACCTTGGCCAAGTCATATCAAAGACTTATAAAAATGGTACTAACAGCTGCCTCACTAGGCCCTCAGCATTAATAGGTTAGTGTTAGAACTGGTCGGCCTGGCATCAGGATAATATGCCTGGGTGGGACATCATGCTACATGTATGCAGCATGATGACCATGGCTATACATCACTATAAACTGCCACACTGCAGACCTTATAGCGATATGACTGAAATTGTTTTAAAGCTACATTACAAATCCAAATCACACACACACACACTCAATCAACATCAGATGATACATGCCATTGTTAATAGATAACTATCATTTCTGAATCATTATGGATTCGTCTTTGTAAATTCATAACTAATATCTTTGAATCAACATGGACACATGTCATTGTTAACAGGTAATTATCATCTTTGAAACAAAATAGACACATCTTTGTTAACAGGTAACTATCATCTCTGAATCAACAGTAGACACATGCCATCGTTAATAGGAAACTATCTTTGAACCAATATGGAACATGTGCCATTGTTAATAGGTAACTATCATCTTTGAATCAATATGGAACACATGCTATTGTGGTAACTATCATCTTTGAATCAGCATGGGCTACAATTGGCAAAACATGGGCTACATTGGCTACACATGGGCTACATTGATTACACGTGGGCTACATTGGCTACACATGGGCTACATTGATTACACATGGGCTACATTAGCTAAACATGGGCTACATGCCATTGCCCTCAAGTACTAATATTTTCATTGTATGTTTTTTCTTCTCCCCAACATTTCTTGAAACTGCCCTAGATCCATAACCCTAATGTTTGATAATTCATTTTTAAAACTTGGGAGGCTGTAAGTCCAAACTTAAAGCCAAATATTCCTGTTTTGATTCCATCAGTACTTTTCAAAATTGTTTAATATAGGCTACAGTGTGTATGTGTGTGTGTGGTCCATCAATTAGACAGCATAACACCATAAACTTGTTTAACAAGGAACACCATAAACTTGTTTAACAAGGATCACTTTCAATCTAATTTAAAACCAAATTAATTTCTTGAATTGTGCTTCATTTCTTAAACTGTTTACACATTGTTCATGACCAACAAACAGACAGTCAGAGAATCAAGTATAAATCATCAAACAATTACAGCATAAAATATTTATTGATGTCATCAATTTACAAAAATGTTAAACAAAATCAAAAGAAAACTCAATCTCACAATTTACAAGAACAGTTTTCAAAACAGCACTGTTACAAATACACATTCAGATGATTTTACATTTATTCTACAACAATCATACAAGGTATATATCACACTGTCTTGAAGTACGTCTATTGTTTCTTTCAGAGTGATTACTCAAATGTATTAACTATGTTGCTTAAAAATAAACATTCCAGGTACTAATTATGCTTGTACCTTGACTCTTTAAAACTAAATTATAATTCAAATAATAACTGCTGACTCTTTGAGAAGTTGTCTAATGAACGGACAAGTATCTGATTCATCAGAGCACTCATTAACAAATTCAATGATTTTTATTCATCACAAACCTAAAATACATGCCCTTCCATGATATACTGACTCTACAGCCCAATTTATTTAATATTAAATTGAAGCTTTCTTTCCATCTATCTCTCCAGCATGGACATTAACTGAGGTACTCTAAACTGGCTTTGGCTTTTTCCATTTCATGAAGAAAAGAGTAGAACTGTGGTAATGTGAGCTCTGGAAAGCAAAATAAACTAAATTTTAGTATGTTTCTCATGTTAATAGGACAGAAAATATAAAATATCTGGATCTTTTCAACAAAAAAAAAGTTTTTCACTTAATAGCACAAAAACTATATAATTAAAATGCCTAAAGAAAAATATAAATGCTTTCCTTTGTACGATTTTTCCATTTCAATATGCCTCATCAGTAACCAGTCTATTGGTTCAGAGCTGCATGTAACAAACTGGTGTTCTGGAATTAACCTGGCCAAAATTACATGGTTTTAGTCCTGCAAGAATGAGGTAATTCCCCAAAATACACTGCAGAAAGTTAATAAATCTGCACAAGAATACTGTTGTTGTTGTAGGGTTTAGCGCCATTTTTCAGCACATGATAGGCTATACATGGAGGCCAGTATTAAAGGTAGACGAAGAACCTGGGAAAACCCTAGAAAGAATTACTAACTCACTAGAAGCTACTGGCAAGCTTTCTCTCATACCCACATTGGCCGAATCTGAGACTCAAACAGATAATACTGCAAACTAAAAACTGTCACAGAACATTTTTCCAAACAAAATACATGGTATGCTAATATAGTGGTCCCTCTCTTACACATCCACCTCTTTTGCACTGGGAAAGTGTCATTATAAGATGGGTGGCCTTTCTAGATGGAGACTACATTTTTTGTGAGAAGTATAGGTAATGTACAATGTAAGAAGCTACAAACTTCAAGGCATTTAATATCTTCGACATTTAAAATTAACATTAATTATTAAAAGGTTCTTCTTATCTAAAGAAAAAATTTATTTCAACTGAATATACATTTAATAGTTCTTATTCTTAATGTAAACATGATATGTGAACAGGTGTCATGCACATTACAAAACCATTCAAAAACTGTTACATCATTTAAATCTTGATACATTCATAATTCTCTTTCCATTTGCAATTATTGGTAATGACATTGTTTATTTGAGTATTTTCAACATAAAACTTTTTTATTCTAGTCTTTTCTACATAAAATTGGCAAGTCCCCCCTCTATCTCCCCGATGTCGTTAAGCAGAATAACTGACTTTCTTCCAAAGTAATATGTCTCCATTTATGTAATGACATGATAATGTTTGGTAAAAATTTTTCGGATGTTGCTAACTGTATGTGATTTAATGCAGATGAAACTTTTGTAGAGGATGAAATGCCTTTTCTTCTTAAAGGAACTGATAGGTGTATTGCCACATGCTTTTCTTGGTCTTTGTCTGGTACCATGTTTTGTTCAAGGTTAAAATCTCTGTGTGTGTTAATGCACAAAATCTATATTTAGCCTATGCTGACCATGTTCTGATCTTAACAATTATGTCCAGTTGTAATCATCAAAGAGAAGAACTCAAAAGATGTGTAAAGCCTAAAACTCAATCACAGCGCCATTGAGCTAACCTGTATATGTCCACTTACAGATAATGATATAATATTAATTTAGCTTTTACATGTAATTTAGCCTACACTACTTTCAGTAATGGAAACCAGACATTGGGAGACAGGTATTGAGAGTTGAGATATGATTACTTTCATTATGGTATGAATTAATTATTGATTCTGGACACTTTTCAAATAAAAGGTATCCACTTGTGAAGGGAACATTTTACATTTTTGTACAAATATGCTGGCAGCCTGTCATGTTACAGGGGTGACCATTTTTGAGGGGTACTTTTGAACACAAACTTGTTGGAGCCAATGGATTCTATGGGTAGCCACTAGTCAGAAATGCCATTCAAGACAAACATTGTACCATCTTCCTAATTTTTTTAAAAACATGGATAATATATACTGCTTTCATGGAAGTTTAAAAATATTGGGTTCAAAATTTGGTTGTGACTGAGATTTGATGGACTGTATTCTAATTATATTGGAAAGGGGGGAAATTTTTTATTGTAAATGTGTGATATGATGGACCATATTCTAATTATAGTGGTCTGGGAGTAATGCTTTCTGTATTATGTTACTTCACATGTAAACTTTCACATGTACATCTTGTTTCAAAAGCTTTACATAAATGCCACCTACCCATGTAAATGTTGCTTGTTCCATTTCCTGTGTTGATTACAAGCTTAAGCTATAGAGAAAAAAAATACATTGACTACTATGTAATTTTGCATTAATTATTATTAACTAAATGTTCTAGCCATGCACTTCATAAAATTTTAAATAACTTAGTTTTTTGTCTGAAGTTACTTTGTATAATGTATCTTTCAAAAGGCCAAAATCATATCAATTAGGACAACACTGTCATAAAATAATTTTCTTTTGTCTTTTTAAAAATGCATTTTAGATCAATATGATTACTGCTGATTACTGTTAAAATGAAATAATTATTTTAAAACAAATATAATCAATACTATAATAAAAGAACACATGAATTAAGTACAAAACAGCTTTTGAGTCAAAACCAAAAAAAATCAAAGAAGCTGAAAATACTTCTGAATCAACAGATTGGCTACACGGTAAAATCTGGCAGTCATAAACAATTTGGAAATATTTACTGCTGATGCCTGAAACTGGAATCCTTAAACCAATATGAACATTACTCAACATAAACTGAATTTTTCATACATACAAGCATTTATAGCAACGTATTATATGTCAATATTTTTATGCCATTGTGTTACCTGTAGAAAGGTGTTTCCCACTTTATCAAGCTCGCTACTCGCTGCTGTAACTGAAAACCAGAAAATATACAAAACTCTGATAATTAAAGTTAAAACCTTCTATGCATAAAAATAAAATTGAATGTGTGTGGGCATACAAGATTCACAGTTCAATGAAGACCCAGAAAGCATTAACTACATTAAACTATGGTAAAATATATGGTACATATTGCCTTTGTGTTCCAAACTTGTGATCATTTTCTGACACTGACTGCACTATGAGGTATTTAGGAAGGATGCGAGCTCTGGAGCTATGAATTTAAATTAAACAAACTTTAAATCTTCATGAACGGCCTTTTAATTCTTAATGCTGCATCAATCAATGTGTAGGGTGTGAATCAGTTACATTTAATAGAATCAGATAGACTACATTCAAAAGATTTCACAACCAATTAAAATGCTTGTTTCATACACCATCATTATAGAACCAATTAAACTGCTTGTTTCATGTACTATCATTATTCAACCAAATAAACTGTTTGTTTCAGAGACTATTGTTATGTTTGTTTGATACACTTTGGAATTTCTTCAAAAGATCAAGAAAAATGGATTCACTGTTGGCAACCTAAGAGCAAATTGATTTTTATCTGCCTAATCAAGCAGTCAT